AATGTAAACCACAAGAAAATGCAATGTAAAAAACATGAATTAAAAAAAGCAGAGACCTAAAAATTGTATAAGTCTTTATTTTGTTTTTGTAAAAACTCAATTTAGTTGATATTCAAGAAAAACAAGTCCAGTCACCTGAAAAAGTAATAAACATTAATATAATTTAGCCTCAAATATATTCCTTTTGGTTACAGCAGGAGCCAGTTTATAGTGAGTGGCCTTTTTGCAGTCAACAGCTGTTTATCCAATTAAAACTTTACWTTTTCGTTACCAATCATAATAATAATAAAAAAGGTCTAGCTTCACTTGTAGTGCTAGTCGTACTTCTGTCATAATGTAACATTTAAGTTAAAGGGAGAGATGTGCGAGCAGAAAATAATCGCCACTCTCAAGGCACTCCCTAATCACGTCTGAAATATGAATCTGAATAAAAAGAAACCAACTCAAATACTGGCACCACATCCAGTTCCTGTCCTTTTGCTCACAAGTGGATAGAAAAATAAACTCACTCCTGAGAACGTTCACATCAACTATGAAACAAGTGGAGCTACAAAACAATCCAAAAGGGCTACAAGTTATCAGAAAATGCAGCTAACATGCTTAAAGTCATTTTAATCCAATTATAAAACAAAAAAAATATCCCATCTTCAACTTACAAAAACTGCAAGTGCTTCATTTTGCAGTGGTGAATGCCGACGGCATCAACATGAAAAAAAAAAAATCACTGAAACACAAGAACAATTCACAGGGATGACTTAAAACAAAGAAAGAAGAAAAATAAAGTCTGAATTAAATGTACACATGGATGAATTTATCTTTTTGGCAAAACATCGGAGCATTTTTAGTCAAATATTCCTTGTTGGAGATCATTCGTTTGCTATGAAAAGATACAGACTTTACTATCAAACAAAACTTTGCCGAAAATTTGTGGAAATCCTTTTACTTTGAAAGCTATGTAAACACACCCGGCTCAAAATAAAAACTTAGGTCAACAAATTATTTGTAAAGCTGAAGTCAAATATTAAACACATAATGAAAACTAAAAAACAAAAACAACATGGCTGCTTCATGAACGTGCCAGCAGAAGTCCAGCTGCAGAACTCAACTTATCCAATGCAGGAGGTTTAAAGGTGAAATGTTTGATCTAACAATCCTAAATTGTTTACAAACTGGTAAAATGAGTTTGATTCATTCATTAATTGCAAAGAAACAGGTCAGATTTGTGACTCTTTCAGCTGGCTTCAATCTTAGTTCTTCCATGAAAACAAATAAATGTTGGGGAGAAAACAAAATGCAACCAGACCGGGCAGAGCACAGCCCACGGTGCAGCAGGTAAATAAAACAAAGATAAAAAACAGAATAAAGCTATTGATCACACTGACAGTGATCCACTCGCAGTACAGGAGCGCCCACGGCTCAATATCAAAGATTTAGAAATGAATCAGATTGATGCAAAAAGTACAGAATTACTCCAAAGCTTCATATTTACACGTGGTCGTCACCATCTGCTAACAAGTTAACAAAACGTCTGTGGGGAGAAGGAGGGGGACAACAACAACAAAAGTCTCAAAATGGAGCAGAGGGAGTGGGACTGTCACCCCCTCTGGTGTCCAACAGTCCACAGAGGTGCTGGTATCAGAAAAACATGTCTTCATTCTTCCTGTTCGACGTTGAGACGACAAAGTTTCTACAGCTGAAAGGATTTCATGATGAGTGGCTACAACTCTGAGGATCCAGCAGTGCAGGACTACGCAGTCACCTTGTTGTCCTTCTGGAAAAACAAAATGAAGCTTTAGCTTTAACAGAACCTGATGCTGATCCATCAGTTTTTGCACATTTCTTGTTCCCTAATTTTTGTGCTACTTCAACAATTATATCAAATTATATAATTATATTATTATATCAAAATTTCAGCTCTTTCATGCCATGCCTGCTATGAGTTTTGGTATTTCAGCCATTTATACTTTTTCAGCTATTTCACCTTTTTAGCCACTTTTTGGCCATTGAAAATGAACGAAGCTATTTTCAACAACCTTAAAATCCTTCAAATTGTTTCTAAATCTTTACAGAACCTGACAATTTGTTCTGTTTATGCTCTTTTTTACTCCCTTGTGCAAATTTTAGCTACTTTTTTTTTGTGTGCTAATTTTAGCTTCTTTCTGGTATTTTTCAGCCTTTTTCTACTTATGTTTCTTACAGTTGATTTCTGCTATGTTCAGCTATTTTAGCTTTTATGCAAATCCAGCTATATTTTTGCTCCTTTTTTTTTTTTTTACAGATTTTCTGCTTCTTTCAAATTTCCAAGTTTAACTTACAGTAATACTTTTGCTATTAAACATTTTAACTCAGTTTCAGCAGCTTTCAGCTAAAGTTTTCAGCAACAGGCCTTCACAGTAGCGTTTTTGCAGGAAATGCATTTTCTCTAGTTTATATTTGGATCAAATTCCAAACTGCTTGAACTCACCCTGAATTCGTAGTCGGAGAATTCCCGTCCTCCTCTGCCTCCTCTGTATCCACCCCTGAAACCAGGCGGAGCCCCCCGGGGTGGCCCGAAAGAGCCTCGGCTGGTCGGTCTCCCTCGCCCTCCGCGGGGTCCCATGAAGCCTCGGCCACGGTAGAACCCCCCTCCTCTTCCTCGGATGTGCCTGAGGGGGATGCCGAAGGTCTCTGCGTTCATTCGTCTCTCCTCGGCCCAGGTGGGCCTGCGCTCCCTGACACACAAACACCATCAGACTCACTTTCACACATTTTCTTTTTAAGGTTTCTGTAGAAAGTACAGTTTTTTTTCAAACCCTCTAAACAACAGTTTCTACATGTGTTCAAACAAAGCTGAAGAAAATATTTRACTTACTTTGGAAATCTGCCTTCACCCGATTTACTTAAAGAGATAAAAACAAGAGTGTTTCAGTGTTGTATTGATTCACATGGTAAAAAACAAGAACAAAGTRTGTTTTCTGGAGACAGCTGCAAACWTATTTTTGACCATTATATTTTAAAGCGCAGCATTAAAAACTGTTGCAGTGCAGACAAGAGTTCAGTTAAAAACTTTAAACACAGAAACCAGAGCAGGATCTCTGAGTAATGAAGGAAAGTATTTTTAGCTGAGTGTTGAAGTACCTTGGATCCTCACAGGACAGGTTATCAAAGAAGGACTTGGTCTTGTCGTAGTAACACGTGTTTATCACGGCCTCCTCTTCCTCAGCCGTTCCCTCGGGGGCTGGATGTTCAGAGTCAGCAGTTTCCTCTCCGTTCACAGCCTTTTCAGGTTTGTCATCTATTTATGTAGCAAGAAAACATCTTAAAGCTGCAGCGGCATTCTGCTGTTTACCTGATAAACACCGAAGACTAAATCAACAGGTACCTTTCAGTTTAAGCTTGTTTTGCAGCTCTTTGTCAATCTCATCTTTGTGAAACTGGGCGTTGGCCGTTTCAAAGTCAAAGTCTTCTTCAAACTTCACGGTGCCGTCTTTACGCATGTTTAGTTTGCCTCTGCTGCGGCTTCCTCTTCCACGGCCGCGGCGGGTGGGCTGAAAGCCAGCTGAGGACAAGAGAAAGCTGAATTTTACCATGTGATTGCATTTCAGTAACAAGAGCCATTTGGCCTCCTAATGGTAAAAATTAAGTCACATTTCAGCCACTGTCAGAAAACAACAGAAAATCTAGATTTCCTGACAATAAATTAACACAAGTTTTCATGTGGAAACGTTTGCATCCATCTACAGTGGCTGGAAGAGGACAACTCACAGTGATATTTACTTACCAAGATGGCGTCTGTTGGGATCCCGGTTTTCAACAGCACCATGTTCAGTATCTGACTGGGACAACTTCTTAACCTCAGGAGCTGAGGAGGAGGAGAAGAAAGAYTGTAACACAGTTCAGACAGTTTTATAACATAACCCATGAGGCAGGACAGACATGGATGATAGGAATCAGTTCTGATGGTGAACCTTTGACACAACCTTAATAACCATTATTAAATGAAATATTCTGACAAAGACTTAGTGCAGAAAAAACTTTTGCCATATTGTAATCTCTGCTTTGTTTAGTCAAAATATTTAGTCTGCCATGCTCCAAGTCCTTGACTGGCTTTGATACAAGCGCTGGAGGAGAAGGCGTCTGCCTCACAGCTTTATATCCCTGAAGGTCGTCTCTCTAAACACAAAACATCTACATCGCTCCTYATCTCTGTTTGACAGACAAATGTTCAACCTCACATGGTTTCAGACTTATTACATGTGCAGAGTTTCACCTTTTTTCTGCTCGAGAAGGTCGGGGGGCTTCTGGCTTGCAGTGGAAGTGCTGGTGGGTTTGGGGGCTGTTGCTCCAGTCTGAGTCCTCGGTACTAGTGGTGCAGGTGGACCTGGGGCAGCTGACGGTGGGGCTGTCTGCTCCACGGGGGGACTTTTTGTCAAAGAGTCCAGCTGAGGACTAGTACGCCCTACAAACAAACAACAAAAAAAAAACACAACCTGTTAAAGCCCACCGGAGAGATGTCAGAGGCCCACCAGATGATTTTTACACACATCTAATATGTAGGCTGACATGTTTCTAATTTAACAGATGCAAAAAAAATATTTTGTTACAGCAAACAAATGGATAATAATCAGTACCAACAAGAATCAAACCTAAAGCCTGAAAATGAAGGCGTTTATAAAACCTGGTAATTCACTTTAAGATGCATTTAACTTTTCATCATTTCATCTGTTAATTGATAACAAAAATAACAAATATGTTTATCAAATAAAGTCTAATGTTACAACTAATCAGGGATCCTTTTAAAAGATGCTGCACCAGTGAAAAGATATGATGTGTTAAAACCAAGACAAACATTGAACAACTCCTTGGAAAATTATTGGTGATCTTTTACAAAACACTAATCGCAATGAACAATAAAAAATTTATTTTGTACAAATAAATTTAATTCATTTTAAGAGTAAAAATACATTGATGAGTCAGTAAAAAACATTCTCACTGGAGTTTTCAAAAGTCTTCAAACACTAGAACCTTTGTTTTAAGGGTTTCCTATTCAATTCAATTCAATTCTAAATCAGATAAGTGTGTAGTAAATGAAATTGTAACACCCAGATGTGCTTCATTTATACATGACCAACAAACAAACAAACATTTTTACGGTTCATTACATTTAGGTGTTAAATTGGGTTTATGCAATTAAAAAAGGCTGAGATGAAAAGTTTTCTTTGTGAACAGTTTCCTGTCCTATTTTTTGAAACAATTTAATTGCTGGAACAGACGAGCAACATTTCTGATGTTTATTATTTTTTTCTAATTGCACATGCTCAGTGTTTTGTTTTATTTTTCACAATATGAAATCACTTATATTAAATAGGAACTCCTCCTTACCTCCAGGAGGTGCAAACTGCTGTGGTCCAATGGACCCAACCCCAAACTGACTGTACGCTGGAACAGGAGCCCTGCTGAACGGTGCGTAGGACCCAGGAGACTGGAATGATGGTGCAGAGGCAGCATTTGAAGATCCAATTGAGGACTACAGAGAGATAAATATAAAGCCAGTTATAAACCTTTAAACTAGGGAGAAAAAAAGAGAGAGCTGCATATGTGACTCTGTCTCTACGGTTGTGTCTCAATTCAGGGGTTGCAGCCCACGTGGGGCACATTACTCAGCCGCTTACGTTGCTGCTCTGCGCCAGAGGCTGTCCCAATTTGTAGGTGCCTACTGGTGCAACTGAAAAAGTAAGCTGCATATGAGTACTCTACACAGCCAACAATATCCCAGGATTCACTGCGCTGTCAGCAAACTGAACCGAAAAACAAAGACGGTGTCGTTTTTAATAGTGGAATTTGGAAATCCATCAGACTGTAGGATTTGTTTTTATGTATTTTTAGCAAATGACATTTTTAACGCAATAAGATGTTAAATATACAATAGGTTGCCTTCAGGCCCAGGCCGTCCTTGAAAAAGAGATCCGAGATCTCAATGGGACTTGCCTGGTAAAATAACGGTAAATAATAAATAAAAAAATAAAAATGCAATTACAAGTAATGAGCTAAACTAAATTATTGTTTATTTACGTGTAACGTTTTTCAAAAGTAAATTCTGTGAAGTTATACCGTGAAAGCACAACTGAAAACATGATACAAAACGTAACATTATGGTAACAGGGCAGCAAGTTTGGTCACAACAAACATACCACATTTGAAGACTAGACCGTCTCATTTCACAGCTGTTTATGCAGCTGACAMTGGCAGCCTATGGCACACGCAGAGTGTGGCATARGTGGGCTGGCTGCAACCSCTGAACTGAGACACAGCTAAGATGAACGAACTCTGCATTATTTATCTTAAACATCAATTTTACTTCATCAATAAAAAGGTCTAGTGTTCCTTCATTAAAGAATACACAAAAAATACATAAAAATAAATAAATAAACTGACAGAGTCTTATGCTAAGTTCATCTGGTGTTGAGAAATAACAGCAACTCATTTTAAACAAATCTTGAAAATAACATTATGCATGATTACCATTAAAGGGATCCATGATTAGTTGTAACATTAGACGTTATTTAATAAACATATATTTTAACTGTAAAATAAAGACTGTAAAAATACTGTAGGATGTTTAGTTTTTATAATTTTTAAACTAAAAGTTTAAAATTATACTACACGGACGGGGCCATTTTATTTACACGCAAAGCATTCTGGGTAAATGATGACGTGGATAGGTCCTCGGTGCGAGGCTGCTAGCGAGCTATATCCACCCTGAAGGTTAATCTTGGACAATATCTGATGATCGACTCTTTTAAATGAAACCAGAGAGCA